TCTCTCTCTCTCTCAAACACACACACACACACACACACACACACACACACACACACACACACACACACACACACACACACACACACACACACACAAGCTGGCGAACACTTCGGCCCCACAACTCTCCATTGTAAACACGACATAAAGGCTTCTCTGCAACGCTTCCCTATTGGGAGCTCTGTCATCTGCCGAGAAGAAGTGGGCGGGATCGGTTAAATAACGACGACCTCCCCCGACCCGCTGCCAGTCCCACCGGTTCCTACAGGATCATGTGACGGTGACACGGCGGATCAGCGCCCGGCGGAACCGCATGGGCCCACACGCAGACACGAAAACACAAATATGCCTGTTTGTGTCAGTCTGTGGCCCCATGCGGTTCCGCCTGGTACCGATCCACCATGTCGCTGCCCATATCTATATCTATATATATATATATATCACATAGACGACGGGTTCGTGTCCTCGTCGTTGTCATCACCACCGGTAGACCCCACATAGCGACGGACGAGAACCCCTACGAGCATGTTGAGGACAGTGTTCCCTCCTCTTATCGCCTCCGCCATATCACCAATCTTCGCCGCCATTGCAGTCCCGACATCCGTGGTTGCCTTCGCCAATGTAGAAGCGGCCTTGTCAAGACCATCACAGTAGGATCGTGTGGACTCCTCCATCGCCCTCGCCAAAGTCAATCCGCCGGTCCTAGCGTCGTCCATCCTTGTTTTCCCTGACGACGTTCTTCGCATCTTTGTTGGGCCCTCTGAGCCGTCCGTTCCTCTCGCCTCAGACCCGCTTTTTCCGGATCCACTTCTTCCCGAAGGCGGCGTTCCTTCTCCTGCTCCCGGCAGGTCCTCAGAGCCCAATGTCTGGTCGCACGTCATGGATGCTCTGGCCGGATTGCGGGGACCAAGGGCGATCACTGTGCATTGCGCTCCCCCTATCAAACGTCTGCTGCGCGGGGAATAAGTGAGCAGCGAAGCTGAACCTGCTTCCCACCGGCAACGTATGTGCACTGCCCACGCCATACCCGCCACCAACTTGGGTGGCGTACAATGTGTCTCCCACGTGACCGCCTCCAAGAGGCATACTAGCCACAGGTGGCCGAACATGGGACCGGGCACGTTGCCCCGCTGCGGTTGCATGAGACTGCAAAGAGGGGAGGGGGGCTGTCGAGACACGAATCGGTGCACCTCGCCCCCCGTCGTACAGCTGTCCGGTGAAGGACTGTAGCCTCGGCGATGACGGACATGAGTACTGACTGACTGCCAGTGGACGTCCGTCCCGCGTCGGGAACCCCCCCTCAATGCCTCCCTGGTTCTCCGCCCTCCACCGAATGGGATCCATTTCCCCCTCAATGCCTCCCTGGTTCTCCACCCTCCACCGGCTCGGATCCATTCCCCCCTCAATGCCTCCCTGGTTCTCCGCCC